CACAGGTGAGGACGGAGAGGGACAGGTATATGTGGGCAGAAACCTGGACCACATTGTCATGTCCTGGGGAACTGAGGAAGTGGCCAGGCACCTCTGCACTGAGTTCAGAGACACCACTTTAGGTGCCTGCAGCCACATGGGAGAGGCTGAAAATGCCTCTACCCCTCTGGAAAGCTGAGCAAATGTCCATAGTGTGGCAGCTGGGGTCTTCTTTTCCTCACTGCATTTTAAGGGGAAAGGGAGGGGTATGCAGGGAGGATGGTGCTGTCATCACACAGTGGAAGTAGCCTTCCAAGGGGAAAGGACATGGTCTCACAGCAAGCGCATGTTTAAACTGTGGAATTCACACCACAAGGTGCAGAAATGTCCCTTAATTTGGATTGTCTAAAAACCAGGAAGAGCAAGAGTTCAGCTCTGATTGGAGGCACAACACAGTTCTGCTGTCTTCTTCCCCCTCCAGGTCAGCCACACCTTTTCTTCTCATGCCTTGAGTGATAAGACCCAGTTCCCCTTTTCCTACCCAATGGTCCCCAAGGAGCTGACCCAGTACCAGGGGATTACCCAGCTGCTCCTGCATTTCCGGTGGACGCTGGTGGGCCTGGCTTCTGTGGACACTGAAAGCGGAGAAAGGTGCATGAGGGCCTTGAACACGGAGATCACCAGGAGCAGAGTTTGTGTGGTTTTCACACTAAACATCTCAGGCTCATACAGAAGCTACCTGGAAGTCCATCGCACATTGTTTCACACATCAGGGGAAGCTGACGTTTTTGTTTATTGTGCAGAGACAAGGCCCTTCATCGAGGGCATGTATCAGATTCAAGACTATTGCGATTACCTCAGAAAATCCAAGACAGGGAAAGTGTGGATCACCACCGCTGTGTGGGACTTCTCCTTGGAACTGGTGACTAATATACCTTCACAGAACATCCAAGGCATATTTTCCTTCCTTATCCAAAAAAGTGAAAAGAAAGCAATTGATCGCTTCTTTTGGCGCTTTTCCATGTTTATGCAGCAGTTTGTCGAGAGAATATTTCAGTGTCCTTCTTCAAAGAAGACCTTGTCGGTGAAAAGATGGACAAGGTGCAGGTCAAAGGAGCAACTGTTGCTGCTTTCACAAGAGCAGACGGAGAGGATCCTGTCCCTGGACAGCCACGTCACTTACAACATTGTCCTGGCTGTGGCACGGGCTCTCGATGCTGCTGCTTCATCCATATCCAGGAGGAGGTGGCAGAAGGGAAACAAGGAAGGTGTTTTTAAGCTGCAGCCCTGGCAGGTACTCCATTTCTATCAGAGATCCCTTTGCTGAATGCAGCACTCAGTTCTTCTGTCCTGCAGCACATGCTCTGAACGCACACTCTGGAGCCACAGCAAGTGTGATCCTCGTGGAAACTCTGTTGGAAACAGACCTCTAGGGAGAGCCCTGCCACCCATTCAACCCCTTACTGTGCACACGGGCTGGCAGCAGCTCTTGGGGTTTCAGGCAGGGGTTCTTGCTTGCCCTTCTGGGGCTTGTTAAAGTGGGAGAGACCTGCAGCAGATTTTCAAG